ACTGTCAAAAAGCGTGCTTTACACGAATGAGTAGAGAAGAGAAGCGGCTGATTTTGCAATTTGCGGTTCCGAATCAAGCTATAAGTGAAGATAAGAAAGAGAATACCTAGGTCGTGGATCTGAAACCTAGGAAGAGGTCAATGCTTAGGCATTAGACCAATCCGTTTTAAATCTCTGAACAGAATCTACGGCTAATAAATGTTTACCAGATGATAGAATGATTGAGTTGGCCTAAATGAAAGCTATTATTGGGTCATAGAATCTCAGGCAACGCCATTTAGAACAGGTAAAGGTGATTACGCTTCAACAAATCCACTTGAAGTGGCACATGCTTAGGCCGCAAAGATGCAAAGACAAGGATTTGGGTGAATGGATAAAAGGGCCATATGAAGTGGGTTGACATGAAGATCAAGATGATGTGGTCTTCTGTTTGGTCGCAGTCTCTTTAGCTTGGGTGATACAGCAAGTTATTGTCAAGTAAGAATAGCATTTCTGGATACTGACCATAGGAAAGGTTGAAGACAGCTTCTCAAATTCAAATGCACAATCAATCAAAGGTACATTAATCAATGTATTATGAAGACAGCCATAGGAGGGTGCATCAATTTAAATGAACGGTGGACGATAATATGAGTAACAAATTACGGTTTTAGGCAAGTAAAATATAGATGGCAAATATAAAAAGCTTGTGGGTGAACGATTACCGATTGCAAATCCGTAGCCAGAGTGAACATCTGGTAATCCAACAGAGCGCTAAAACACATCAATGACGAGATATGTAAGAAATATAAGATAAGAGCTGGTCCCTTATAACTCGGCAATGATCAAAATGAAAAAAACCCACATACATGCACTATCCCTGGAAGAGATGCAACATTAGCTATTTGCTTCATTCCTGGGAGGAAGCCACCATAATCCCCAGACCGACAAAAATTTCTCAACTCATCAAACATGAGCTTTTCTAGCAGAGAATTTACATAAAATATTCCCTCAACCTTGGGCTCAATGTATCATGTAAACTTTTTACCTTCATATTATTCACGAAACCCTTTTTTATTCTCCATGAATATGGAGAGAGCCTTTCAAGGTACTTTAATTCATCATCATATGTCCGAGGCATGTCAGATGAACAAAGAACGCGGCACAAAAATTCTTTTAAAGAAGCTCTCAGCACTCTTATTTACACAATGTAAGAATAAGCATGCATTACTTTTAGTAACTATGACTCGATTTAATCATTGACATATTTTTGAGACAATTTTTTGGTTTTTTGTTTGACTAGTCTATTTAAGTAAGCAACTATTTGTATACATTTTTGATTCCTTCTAATGGTCCTATCTGTTTCTTCATCTACCATTTATTATCGACGTGATTCAGTGCCTCCTACGCTCTTTAAAAGGTTTCTTAGGCAGATTCCCTACATTAGGCGTCTATGCATTTTCTCACTTTGCTTATTTCTAATAACCGTGCCTCTTACGAAGATTTTCTTGATCCCATATTCATCATTCATATTAGGACCTGAAGATTTGAATCGAGATGCCGCTAAAGTCAGAGACATTGAAGAAATAAGAAAAGCTGAAGCAATAACCAATTTTAATTACTGGCGAGCCGCGAAGCTCTTGCCTTTTAAGTATCCTAATTTTTCTATTGATGTCCACTCTCTTCAATATGTGAAATTATCACCACCACCAAAAATAACAATATTGATACTTGC